GGCTGCGGGGGGTTGACCCCCGAAAACTTCTCCAGGTATACTCCAGGTAACACATACAATATTTCCACCTGGCTGGAGATCGAACCACAGACACTCAGTGTGTGAGACGAGAGTATTGCCTATCAGACCCCTTTCGGTGTACTGCTTCCCCCTAACTAAAATCAATAAATACGTGATATTGTAATATTGTATATATATATATATTTAGGTGGCAGCACCAATGCTTAAGATTTTTTTATCTTTTTTTTACAGGAGAAAATACTGAGAGTTCTGGATTATGAACTGAAGAGCTTGAAGAAGGGTAGAGTAAGTATGAAAAAAAATTTATATTGCTCGGTATAAATTACCTATATCATTACAAAGCAATGTTTGTGTTTCTTCATGTTATGTGCATTTAGGAAAATGTATAGACTTAGGGAACAGTTATTTTCCTTTATGTATTCATGAATGAAGAAAATGAATTCTTGATATAAAAGACTGGAAACAAAACACAGTCCGCTGTGTCGTATGATTTAGAAATAATGGACAAAGTCTGTTGGTTACAGAATTGTCTGTTATTATTGTCATGAGGAAACAATCTCTGCTCAGTCCATCACAGTTACCATTACTACCCACATTAAAGAGAGGCTCAGCTTGTAATAATAATAATAATAATAATAATAATAATAATAATAGTAATAATAATTATGCTTGTATACTAAAACACTAGATGTATTTAGCATTCCTGTACAGTATTTGGTTATATGTTGTACAGAGTTTATGTGAATTGACAAAAAATGTATTTTGCTTTGCTAAAACTGAAGCACAATGAACTAGGAAAACTGTAAATCAGAATTACAGATGCTAGCATAACTTTGCAGTGCTTTGCTAATTGTGTTACTGAGTCTCTCTGCAGTAATATTTAAATTAAAAAAATTCTTACCAGTCATGGACCTGTATCAGGTCACACCTTACTTGTCTTAGACATGTAGCAGGTCACATCATGGATGATGTCTTCATTTTATTTGTATTTGTACCTTAATAACATAATTTCTGTCCTTGCTTCCCTGTAATCACCAGCATTTTATGATCCATACGGGTTTGATGCATTTAATGAGTGGCACACGATAACAATATCCTTTAATGATTGAAAATTATCATAAGTGGTTAATGGTAAACTCGTTATAATGGACTTGAAATGATGGCCAAACTCCGCTGAAGAAATTGTGTTTTTAGATCATTTATTTTCATGTTTATTATTGTATATCTGTAAGTTGTGTATACAGTACCATATTAGGCCCATGAAATCATAATGTCATGATTGCCAATAAACGAAAGCATGGCAAGGGATTGAATCCAAGGCAAGTGAGTTTTAAATAACAAAAAAAGGCACAATACGTACATAGAAAAGAGGAACTTATGACGATGTTTCGGTCTGGCTTGGACTGACTTTGTAAATGGTCCAAGTCGGATCAAAACATCGTCGTAAGCTCCTCTCTTCTATGTGTGGGTTGTAATAAAGTTGGTAGAATTACCGACAATATGTAAAGTAAAAGGACACAAGTGCAACTAATGTGACATTTTATTGTGGCAATGTTTCGCTCTCAAGGAGCTTTGTCAAGCTTGTCAAGGCACTTGCGTCTGCCTTGAATCTTCACTAATGGCTGTTTCTAATACAATTAAACAAAACAAAGGCAGCTTCACCATCTCTGAAGTCTTAGCAAGAATCCTCCTGCAAACAGTAAACCCTGCCATCACATAGTCTCTCCTGTTAATACTACACAAGCACATTACAGAAAATGAACATTGAAACAGGCCTTCTCTATCCAGCCTCCAATAGAAATATTTGTCTAACCAATTTTTATGTTTCCCAAGTAATAGCTTTTATATCCTTTACTCATGTGCAAGTTAATTGTTCTAACATATTGTATTACTACTACTACTACTAGTATTGCACCTCACTCTGAGCCTATATATACCCTCTGTGTCCATGTATTGTTTGTAACGGCTTGACAAAGCTCCTGGAGAGCGAAACGTTGCCACAATAAAATGTCACATTAGTTGCACTTGTGTCCTTTTACTTTACATGTGTGGGTTATTTGTGTACAAGTGAGTTTTACTATTCACTTGCTGTGGATTCAATCCCCACTCATTCTGGTTTGTTTACTATATTAGGTATACAGTAGAGCATTAAAGTGCCTTTATTTTTTTAACATTTTGATTTAAAGGACACTTGGACAATCCCCCCATTAGTCCATTACATCTCGATTGCTGGCACACTCAGCTCACACACAGAGGTCTGGGGATTGATCCCTAGTACAGCTGGAAAACATTAAGACATGTTTCCAGTGTTCACCCATCAGTAAAATAGGTACCTGGGTGTTAGTCGACTGGTGTGAGTCGAATCCTGGGACAAAACAAACCTAATTTGCCCAAAATGCTCTGCATAACAAGTGGCTTTCTATATAGTAGTATGTCATTGATGCCAGCTATGGTCTGTATACCTTGTATATGTACTTGTAGAAATAAAGATATTATTATTATTATTTTTATTATCATCATCATATTACTGTTCTTTCATGCTGGTTATTATGCATAAACATATACAATATGTACATATAGTTTACACTCCATGATTTTGCTTTTCAGAAAATATATCTACAGCAGCCAAACAGTAACGTCTTTTTCTGCTGCAAGAAGGCAGATGTTCTGAGTCATTTGCAGAGAGAACGAGAAATGCTGATGGAGAGACAAAAACATAAGAAGTCAAAGTGAAAGTAAACATTGTCGCCATTAATGATCTTGTGTTCTTTTCTTTATATTTGTTTTCAAATACAGTACCAGAAAAAAGTAGTATGTAACATATGTAAAGGAAAGTAAATTTCTTTGTTTTAGTATATTACCAATATTATTATTATATGATTTCTATTCTAAGTAAAGAGTCTGATATCATGAAGACTTTCTGCATAAGTTATTCGAATAATTATCCTTGATAGATCATAGAGTAGATAGTTCCACTGATCCATACCTGGAGTATACCTGGAGAGAGTTACTTTTTCTGTTTTTTTTTTTTTTTATGAATATGAAGCACTAAATCTGTTTTAGTCATTCAGCACATGAATAATGAAGCCTCTTCCATTCCCTAATAGTGAGATATACGCTCTACTCTCGCAGTCAGGCTTAACCATTTTTCTTGTATCTAGGTTCATTTATTGAATACATGCCCTGTCTAGTACATCCTTCATGCAGTCTTACTGTCGATGCTGGGTCACCTTATAGAGCTGTTTAGGTTTAAACTCTGCTCATTGGAAGGGAAGGGAAATGTTGTACTTTTCTCAAGGGTGCTAGACTGATTGAGAACCTAGGAACTCTATAGCTTAAATGTTGGGGCTATTTTTCCTGTTGTACAACTTGTTTCTGAAGGAATGGGAGGGAATCATTGTTCAGATTTCTCCCAATACAATTGCCAGTTGTAGTACTGTGGTGGCTGGCACACTACCCAAAGAGGATTGAATAATTTTATAGTGGAGGTACTATGTTACTGAAAGAGGTTGCCAGTAGGTCTAGAAATGGTGATTGAGGTTGCCTGATTCCCAGGGTTCTCTTTGATTTGTCCATATTCCTTATATAAATAATGCAGATGCTGTTGGTGATCTCATTTTATACATACAGTTTTACCAAACCTTGCTGTGTTAAGTCTGGGTGAACCATCCAGGAGGTAGGTCTTGAAGAATGACAATACAGGTCTTGGTGGTGGTGCTGGGATTGTGTTGATGGATGGTTGGTTCATTTCAGTTTCATTCTGAAGATTGTTTCCATTATCCATTATTTGTTTATCCCCCTTTTTTTATGGCATTCATGGTACTTTTACTTTCCCTGGTTCCTGCGTATCAATGACCTGCAGTGATGACCTTTGTGGTGCTATAGATTGTGATGGGTCAATGATCTCCTCTGGTGACCTTTGTGCTGCTGTGGACTGTGTTGAGTGTGAGAAGGCAGTCTTAGCCAGCCTTCTGGCACCTGTTACAACCTTCTGGCACCTGTACAGCCTTCTGGCACCTGTTACAGCCTTCTGGCACCTGTTACAGCCTTCTGGCACCTGTACAGCCTTCTGGCACTTGTACAGCCTTCTGGCACCTGTTACAGCCTTCTGGCACCTGTACAGCCTTCTGGCACCTATACAACCTTCTGTCACCTCTACAGCCTTCTGGCACCTGTACAGCCTTCTGGCACCTGTACAGCCTTCTAGCACCTGTACAGCCTTCTGGTACCTGTACAACCTTCTGGCACCTGTACAGCCTTCTGGCACCTGTACAGCCTTCTGGCACCTGAACAGCCCTCTGGCACCTGTAAAGACTTCTGGCACCTGTTTCAACCTTCTGGCACCTGTATAAGCCTTCTGGCACCTGTACAGCCTTCTGGCACCTGTACAGCCTTCTGGCACCTGTACAGCCTTCTGGCACCTGTACAGCCTTCTGGCACCTGTACAGGCTTCTCACACATGTACAGCCTTCTGACACCTGTACAGCCTTCTGGCACCTATACAACCTTCTGTCACCTCTACAGCCTTCTGGCACCTGTACAGCCTTCTGGCACCTGTACAGCCTTCTAGCACCTGTACAGCCTTCTGGCACCTGTACAACCTTCTGGCACCTGTACAGCCTTCTGGCACCTGTACAGCCTTCTGGCACCTGAACAGCCCTCTGGCACCTGTACAGACTTCTGGCACCTGTTTCAACCTTCTGGCACCTGTATAAGCCTTCTGGCACCTGTACAGCCTTCTGGCACCTGTACAGCCTTCTGGCACCTGTACAGCCTTCTGGCACCTGTACAGGCTTCTCACACATGTACAGCCTTCTGACACCTGTACAGCCTTCTGGCACCTGTACAGCCTTCTGGCACCTGTACAGCCTTCTGGCATATGTACAGCCTTCTGGCACCTGTTTATCTGGAGAGAGTTCCGGGGGTCAACACCCCCGCGACCTGGTCTGTGACCAGGCCTCATGGTGGTCAAGCCGTCAACCAGGCGTTAAACCCTGGCGGGGCGAAATCCAACATACGAGCCACAGCCCGGCTGGTCAGGTACCGACTTTAGGTGCTTGTCCAGTGCCTGCTTGAAGACAGCCAGGGGTCTATTGGTAATCCCCCTTGGAAATATAAACACATGCAGTATAATGTGATCCTTTATTGACAACGTTTCGCCCAAACAGTGGGCTTTTTAATCAAAAACAGATCTACCTGGGTGGAAGGGTAGCGAGATTTATAGTCAGGTCAGAATGATGGGCAGGTGGAGAATGCGCATCTGATGATCACCGAGTGGGGTTATAGAGTCAAAAATTTTGGGGTATTGGAAGGGGAGGGGATAAGTTTGCGAGCAGACCTTCTGCAGTGTTCCCCCTTTTCCTATGTTTTATGGGGATAGCGATTAGAAGTTTTTTGGGCAAGTGGGTCAGCTATGTTATAGAAGCCATTGTTCGTTGAATTGTTGGATAGAAAGCGATTTTCCAGAATTTTTATATTGAGGTTGTCTTTCTGGCAAAAAATTTAAAGTTTCTGTAGTTTTTTAAAATGGTTGTGTGAATTAGGGTGTTGTACACAGGCATTTCTTGTATCGTCAGACTTGCTTACAAATTGGGTTCGAAATACGTTTTTTGGAGGTCTCTTAAATGTTTTGCCCATGTAAAATTTGCTGCTCCACTTCTCTCTGTAACCCGACGCTGGATTTTTACCTGGAGAGAGTTCCGGGGGCAACCCCCCCCCCGGGCCCGGTTGTGCCCAGGCCCCCTGGTGGATCAAGCCTGATCAACCGGGGCTGTTCCCTGCGGGCGCACTAAACCAACGAGACCACAGCCCGCTGATCAGGAACTGTTTTGGGTGTTGTCCGTGCCCTTGAAGACTGCAGGGGTCTGTTGGTAACCCCCCTTATGTGTCGGGAGGCATTTAAAACGTCTGGGGGCCCCTGACACAAATTGTAGGTCTCTTAACGTGCTATAAACACCCTGCTTTTCTTGGGGGTTGGTGCATCGTCGCCAAGTCTTTTGCTTTCGAGTGATGATTTTCTGTGCAAGTTCGGTACGTCCCTCAGATTCCGTGTATATAAACAGTATCCTCCCCCCGCGTTTCCCGGGAATACAGGTTTTGGGACCTCAAGCCTTCCAGTAATTGAGGTGTTTTTTTTTTCCGTTTTGCCGCCGTGAAAGTTTCTGTACATTTTCTAGGGCGGCAAATTTTACCTGCCTTGAAAGGGCTGTTAGTGTCAGCAATATTCCGCCTGATAGAACAAATGACCTGGGGGTGTCATCAGGGCTTGGCCTCCCAGTTTTGAAGGTTCTCATTATCCATCCCGTCATTTTTCTAGCAGATGCGATTGATAAATGTTATGGGCCTGAGGGAGATCCTCCAACATGACACTCCCAGGGCTTTGACGTTGGGGTTTTCGCTCTATTTTGGGCCAGAATTTTTTTGTACTCTGAGAAATTTTAAATTTCCCCCCACGTTTACCAAATTTTTAGAATTGAAATTTCTCATCGTTGAACTTTCATATTTTTTTTCTCAGCCCACTAAAGATTTGGTTTTGTCCGCCGGAGCCTTGCAGGTTGCAAAAGGAAGACACTGTCTCATCAGATTTGGGGGTTCACCCCCCAAAGGGACACGGTGCTGTGGCTGACACCATGTCTATGTCGGATATGAGGAGAGGAAAAGAGGGAGCGATACTGTGCCTTGTGGGCAGAGCTTTTCACCGGGGACTGCCCCGGACTTTTCTCTGTTGACGACTACCTCTTTTTCTGTTAGTGAGGGAAAATTTTAGATCCATCGCCGACTTTTTCCCGTTATTTCCCTTTGCCGCATTTTGTGCGCATTACGCCAGGTCACACTTGTCAAGGCTTTTTCAAGTCTTATAATTCACGCATTTTTTTGTCTTCTAGGGCATTTTGGGGCCTTTTCGTAGTGTTTCCCAAAAGTTGAGCAGACAGGACGAACCCGTTTAAACCCAGTTCCCTGGGTTGGTAACGATGGGTTTCTAGATGGGTGGGGATCTTGCTTTTTAGGACCCTTTCAAAGATTTTTTTGATAGGGATTATGCTATTGGCTTTCTTTGCGTTGCTTTACTGCCCCCCCTTTTTGGAGTTGGGGGGGTATGTCTTTTTTTTTTTAGTAACTGTGGGCGCCCCCGTGTCCATGCTCCCTCTCCATAGGATGGAAAAGGTCGTGATAGGGGCTTCTTGCAGTTTTTTAGAAAACAGATTCCATGAGCATAGACTCTGTACTACAGGGGTTAGCCCGGTTTTATTAGTGTAAGAGGACATATTGCATGTAAGGAAATTTAGAAACATAGGTCATCGTAATGCTTTCTTTAAAATCTATATTGTAGTTAAAATAGTTTTGTTGTTGTTGGCTCGAGAATGCCTTTGATTGTTCTGCAGGTGTAATTCAGTAACTGTTTGATTCATTTAAGTCATTAAATTAAGAGGTTTGGGATCAGGATCAATGCTTTAATCAAAAGATTTTAGTGAACTAAGTTAGAATTAAAATATAAAAGAAAGTAAAAAGTCTTTAAACTAAAAAATAGCACCGAATTATTTAACAAATTTAAAATAATGAGCTAAGGTTTTTTTTTTTTTTTTTTTTTTTTTTTTTAAGCTAAAATAAAGGAGCAATATAAAAGGGGGGCAATACAAATAAAGTGATGACAAATAAGGGTTGGGAATAGATAGTAGGTAAATATAAAGGTAATTCTTTAAAGGTGAAAATTATATATAAAATTATAAAAAAAAGGGGACTAATATAAGTTGGTAAAAATAAAGGGGGTAATCAAATAAATGACTTTGGAATATAAGGGCAAAATTGTGAACATATTTACTTTAGCACCTAGAATAGCACCTTATTTTTTTTAACAATTGGGGAATTATAAAACTAGGTAGTTATATAAAGCAAAAAAATAAAGGGAAAAATATATAAGGGACTAAATT